TCGAACACTTCCAGTTTGTACGTTGCAAACGACACACACATCGGGTTAGTATGCAGTAAGCAGGTTATACTGTTTGAGTTATGTTGTAAGCATTACATAAGTATGTGATTTCAGACACTGCCTTTATCACTCTGCTTTGTGTTGGTTTTTATCCTTTATTTATCCCAGACTGGACTTTCAGTTAGAGAACATGACATGGTGATTGAATTTTTAGATCTTGTCCATCACCTCGGCCTTTGTCGTCCTCTTTACAGCGGCTTGGTGAATCAGAGCCCCTCCCCTCACGACGAGGGCTGCATTATGTTGGAAAAAACTGACATTCAAGCCATCAAACTAATATACTTTAATGATAATACTGTGGATGTTTCATGTTCAATATGATGACTAGTTTGTACATGAGCGCTGATTTGTTTTCTATATGTTTTATTTTCTTACCTGGCTGATTTCAAATTCCCCTCTGGGACAAAGCAGTTTTAAAAATGAAGCCCTCAAGTCGTCCCTGCTCATGCTCCAGCTTCAAATAGTGACCTCTCCCCTGATACTTGATGTTGTCATTGGTGTGTGATTCTCTGTTTACTGTTGACCAATGACATTATCTCTGCCTTTTATTAAATCATCAATCTTACAGTTTGTGTAGGAAGTAGGAACTATGTTGTTTTTGACATGACAAACATGTTTAACAGAAGAAAAGCTTTTTTGATTACTGTGTCTGTGGTCCATAAATAGTTCCAGGTTTTGAGGTTCTCTCTCATACCAGGTTGGGTCTTTAATATCTTGGACGAAACAGGTTCTTATACTTTAGAAAATTAGAAGTACATCTTAGGATGAATATGCTCTCATGCTGAGGGTTATTGTTTGACATGTTGGACCCGTGGAGACCTTTGTGTCGAGAAGGTTTCTGCAGGTCAGATGAGAGAGTGAGGTCAGAGGTCAGGTGGTTTTCCAGAGTGACATATTTGTGCATGAGACAGAGTAGAAACATGTGTGTTTTAGTGTGTATGCACTGCAATGCATGAACAGTCTGCAATGTCCACGTTTGAAGCATAAACATGCACAGCTACACTGTGTTAGGGATTGTCTCTTGGACTTAATCCACGCTTATTTCCTAGTGTGCGTTCATGTGCATGAATACTAGCTTGTGTGTGTGTGTGTGTGTGTGTGTGTGTGTGTGGTGTGGGTTCATCCTGAGGGCGGTGCTCGTTTGGTCTGCGAGTCGTCTGCGTCGCTGTTTTGACCCAAAAATTAAACGAATCTCCCTCTTCTCTGTTTTTGAACATCCTCTCTTCACTCTTAATGTTTGAAATCTGCCTGTTATTATTTTTTCATCATGCTCGCATCAAACACTTTGTGCTGTGAGTGAATTAAAGTTTAACCCCGAACAAAGGAGCTGACAGCTACTTAGGAGGGCTTCTCTCATGGTTATTATCGTCCAGCTGTTGATAGTCGTGCAGTGAACATTCACAGCCTGATCAGCTTCTCCCGACCTATCAGATGAGTTTTCTGGCATGTTTGATATTTTGGTTGTACAGCTGTATACGATCTCAGTGAGAGAGCCCATTCCTTAACTACAGGACTTTTTTTGTTCGACCTGATTTTACCTGCATACACTGACAGACAGCTTCAGAAATCCTCATGGCAACATCAGGCATGCCTGTTTAATCTATCCTCCAATCATTAAAAGACATGTTTGAAGGAAATGTCTGCGGACCTTCAGCTGACAGGGAACATTTGTTAAGCGTTATCTGCTGTTAAACTTTTGTTCCTCGCTGATGCTGAGAGAGAGAGCGTTTCTGTGTGAGCGTGTGTCGGCTATCTGAGTCGTGCATATGAGACAAATGAAATCAACTTCTGTCTGTGGGAGTTTTCTATTGACAATTGAGACGGCGCCGTCCTGATTTAACTCGTACAGTGTGAGCTCTCAGGTTTTGCCCGGGTCGTATACAGTGTGAGCACATCGTGAACTTTGGTCGTGCGTCATTAATGATTCAGTCGTTCAGTGAGCTGAGATTCCTCCTCGACCTTTCTTCAATAGTACAGTGTACATCAGGCTTTAGGGGACATAAACACTTTTTGAGTGAGGAACCATTAAGCTTGTTAAAACTTGTGCTCATTAATGCAACACAAAATAGTTACTTCAGTGACTTCATCTTCATTAAAACCTTCAGATCTTTTGGCAATTTCTGAGTTTAACAGTGACCATGTAGTAAACAACAACAACAACAACAAGGAGACACAATGAGCTCTAAAACAAAAAGAAACATCATTAAAAAAGGAAGATCATTAAAAACACTGGAAGCAGAGCAGAAATGAAAGCGTCACTTCAGTCACTTGGTGTTTTTATAGCAGTTTGTCCGAGTTCAGCCTGAAGCTCTACAGGAAAAGAAAAAAAAGTTCAGATGCTTATTACTGCGTGACAGGCCGAATGTACTTTTCACTTAAACACATCAAACCCACTCTCAATCTAACCATGTCCTTTAGTCTTTTTTTATTTCCCAAAGAAGTTAAAGAATACGCTGTATACAATTTTGCACATATATTTTTTACGACATATATTTTATTACATATCATTTTAAGAAATTATTTTGTATTGGGGCTGTCAAATAATTACATTCAAATCGTTAATCATGGTTAATTGCATTTTTAATTGTATTAAATTCCATCATTTTGCATTTAAAACTAAAAATTGTTTGGCTTTTATTTTAATTTTTGTAATTTTTGTCTTAAGCTGAGAGTACTTTACTGGCTGTTTGAATTCAACCCTGCTTTTATTTTGAAATAAAGTAAGGACCTTCTGGTAAAAGTACGTCGAAAGTTACGTCATTAACTTAACCAACGGAAATAGAACTTGCTGCGTATCAAAAACTCATGAAAACAGCTGAAAGGAACGGTAGAAAAGTGAAATGTGAAAAGTGAAATTTCTTTGACTCAGCTTTTTTAAGTGAAATGAGACATTTAAAGATGCAGCAGTGTTGTTCTTTTCCATCACTGTGACTATAGGGAGACACTCTGGGTGCTTATCCACGATCACCTAAAGAGACAAAATGGAATAGAATTTCGAAAAATAGAATGTGATTAATGCATTGATTAATTCTGATTAACTTCTCAGTGCCGATAGCCCTGATTTATTATGCATCTTAATATGTACCTATGTTTGCAGTCATATTGGTAAAATTGGTATGTTTTGCTCTAAAAAATCCTATATAGGTCATTCTCAGTTGTATTTATTTTTGCACAAGTTTCATGATGATAATGTGACGACCTTTTCAGTCAACATCGTCAGAACTTGAAGTTTGCATTGTTTCTTGGTACAGTCATTTATCATTGTCAAGTAAGGAGGTGAACAAACAGGAGTGTACGTGACCGAGTGTCAGAGCAGAATGGAAACCAGGACTGAACATCTCATCAGGAGCCACTGTACATGATCTGTGTGTGTGTGTGTGTGTGAGAGAGAGAGAGGAAGTGGATGACAGCTTTTGATAAGAATGGAAAACAGAGCTCGATTTCCCTTTGATGTGGACACACACACACACACACACACACACACACAGACACACACACACAAACGCACGCACGCACACAAACACACACTTCAGAAATCAGATTTGGGAGCTGTGAAGAATAAATGCATGAAGGGTTGAAAAACGAGGCCTGTCTAATCATTCAATTAGGATCCAAGGCAGATGGTCTGGACACACATACACACAAACACACACACAGACCTGTTACACACTCACACCTTGTCAGTCTTGCTCTCCTCAAACTCCCTCCTCTCACTGTGTAACCCTATAATCACTCTCTATCAGTGTAACTCTATCCTTGATCGCCCTGTTTCTGAGTGTTAATGAGACACTATTAAAGGCCTGCACTTTATTACCCGGACACCCTATAGTTATTTGATACATGAATAATGAAACGTAATATAGACAAAGTATTTAGACACCCACCTTTCACTTTTGGCCTGCAAGGATTTGCTTTCCCATGGGGGGAAAATAACATGTCTTTTATGAAAATAGATTTGTGCATAAGGTAATGATACATGATAAAGAAGGTAAAAAACGGTAGAAACGGGTTTACCTTTTGTATCATTAAGGGGTACTTAATGGGCTCTATTCATTCTTTGATTTTGAAGGTTTATACGACTAATTGGTTAAAGAATGTTTTGGATTTGCTCCGGTAGGATTCTTCAACTTGCAGCATTGAAACAGGCTGAAATGGCTGCAATGTAATCCTTTAGGGCAAATGTTCCTGATCAAAGTGCATCCACTTAAAGTTCAGATTGTGAAGTGTCTGAAAACATTACAGAAAGCATCCCTACAGTCATAGACCTTTTTGTTTAAGAGGAAGATCATTTTGAACACCAGAAAGAAGCTGTTACATCCCTCTCTCTTTAAATACACCAAACTCCTTTGACAAAAACAATCATTTTGCCTCATAGAAAGCAGGAGTTGCTGGTCTACTGTGGCCTCAGTTGCCTGATTATTGTACATTGTTGTGTGACTTTGGTGGTTTCAAGTGTAAACTAAAATGCAAATCAACACAAGCATACAAAGAAACAAACCAAAGGAGGGAGTGGCAGACGATCACAACTGCAAAGTAAAATGACTGTTTTTATCAATGACGTCTGGTGGCTTTGAAGATTTTGTCACAACAGCTGTATCTGGTTTAAAAAATAATCATCTTGCTCCTTAACAAAAAGCTCTATCTCAGGACGCCAGTTAGCCTAACGGTTATGTCTCGCAATGAACAGAGGCGATAGTCCTCGTGAGACTGGGTTTGAATCTGACGTCTGTCTCTGTATGAAGAAATCTACTGAAACATTTCCAACTCTTGTTTGAGGCTATAAGTTATTTAGGCTGCCAAAATATGTAAAAAACAGATCTGTATCAATGTTAGTTTTGCACACATAGATGAATTGGGGGATGATTGTTAATACAAAGCTCCTGTCTCTGTATCTGCAGCTGGTATACTGGGCCAGTCAGCAGCAGGATCAGGATGAGAAGATGGCTGGCTGTGTGTTTCCAATGGGACCAGAGAGCTTTCAGCGCTTCACGCCGGACTCCCTGGCGGCCATCGAGCAGCGCATCGCCCAGGAGAAGGCCCGACGCAACAAACATTACCAGGAGGTACACACACTCACACGCACACACGCACAACATAGAGAGGACAAGATGTTGGGGGTAAGAACTTGAATAAAAGGAAGAGTTGTAAAGCAACTTCAGTACACAGATTGGAAGTATTTTGGGTGGGTGTTGATACTCTGATGTTATGTGTGTGTGTGTGTGTGTGTGTGTGTGTGTGTGTGTGTGTGTGTCAGGACCTGGGCGACGTGGTGCTCCCCCGGCCCCGGCCCGACCTGGAGGCAGGAAAACAGCTGCCGCGCATCTTCGCCGACATCCCGTCTCATCTGGTGGGCGTTCCCCTGGAAGACATCGACCAGTACTACTTCAAAGAAAGGAGGGTAGGTGACCCAGAGTGTATGTGTGTGTTTGTGTGTGTTTGTGTGTGTGTGTGTGTGTGTGTGTGTGTGTGTGTGTGTGTGTGTGTGTGTGTGTGTGTGTGTGTGTGTGTGTGTGTGTGTGTGTGTGTGTGTGTGTGTGTGTGTGTGTGTGTGTGTGTGTGTGTTTGCTCTAGTGTTTGTGGGTGACAGATTTTGGAAATGCCCCGACTCTTCTGTTGGAAAATCTGTGGAAGATGAATTTAATTTTTGGTAACCTACTTCACAGGAGAGTAGGGGAGGGGAGTGATCTGTGTTAGTGTGTGTGTGTGTGTGTGTGTGTGTGTGTGTGTGTGTGTGTGTGTGTGTGTGTGTGTGTGTGTGTGTGTGTGTGTGTGTGTGTGTGTGTGTGTGTGTGTGTGTTTATATGTGTCTGACACAGTTTGTCTCTTCTCTTGCTCTTACACCTTGTTATTATCGTAGCCGTCAGGTTTTTTCACTCTAATGTTTGGTCTTATTTCTAGAAGCTTTTTCTTAGTTGTTAGTATACTCAGTGGACAATGGGGCATTTTTCCAGAAACATCTAAACGCTACAAGTTTATGGATCTTTTTCATATCTGGGAAGTTTATGAGCAGGTTACAGGAAGATCTGATCTTTCACTGCCGTCCCCTCAGTGTGAACACAGAACTTAGAACAACAAACCCAAAAGGGGAGTTCTGACATTTTTAAGGAAGTCTATAATTAGATAGTCTACATTTAAGTTTTACTATATGAATATTCTTAATGACGCGTATTAGGGCCTGTGTCCAAAGTGCTTTCTGTACTCAGGACCTTAGTTTCAGAGAGCTTCTCACAAACGTTGTTGCTAGGTTACAAAAGTTAAACTCCAACTCCCTCCCTTATGATAGGTAATGATGTTAGGTCTGTTTTAGATTGCCCATTCTTGATTTGTTATTAAGGGAGAAGACATTGATGAGTGTGGTGCTGTTCTGAATGTTGAACTGTTTCCAACTGAGAGCGCAGGGATAAAAAAACAGCTGTTAATGAGAGCGTATTGAACATGTGCGCTGCTAGCGCAAAACCTCTACTGTGAATAAATACCGATTGTTTTGAGGTTATTTTGTATTTCAGAATATCTGTCCCTGTATCTTGAATCTCTCTTTCTCTCTCTCTCTCTTTTTTCCTGCAGACCTTCATAGTCCTGAACAAAGGGAAGGCCATCTTCCGTTTCAGTGCCACTTCAGCTCTCTACATCTTCAGCCCATTTCACCCCATCCGCAGAATCGCCATCAGGATCCTCGTCCACTCATATCCTTTGATATATATTTATATATACAGTATGTACAAACATGCACACACACACACACACACACACACACACACACACACAAACACATAAACACACACAGGATGCTGCTACTGTGCGTATTCCTGATATCTGAACAGAGCTGTGATCTACTGGCTGTATGGACGAAGCTGCAGGGAGGTCAGAGGTGAAAGGTCAAATACAAAGCAGTGTCCCTGAAGCATGGGGGTTCAGTGTGTGTGTGTGTGTGTGTGTGTGTGTGTGTGTGTGCGATCGGGCCACCCTGACGGCAGTTTGGTTGTTGTTGTGTAAACAAACAGAAGCAGGCGGAGTGCTTCATGTCTGCAGGCGTCTGCAGCCTGGTCGATGTTTCACTGTTTGCAGAGATGAATCCCATCATGATGTTTGACTCTGAATCACATCGACACAACATGATGGGATGAGTTTGAAGAGAAAACACAAAAAAAGAATGTATTGTAGAGGACCCACTTAACTGTACACATGTAAAGCAATTTAAAGGTTGTTTACTCCCTAACAGCGCCTGAGAAGAAGGTTCTGGTTTCAGAGAAGAATGGAGTTAGTTCTGTGGCCTTCTAGACGAATGAAATAATGCACAACAATGCACAATAGATTAAAAGTTATTTCTACTACAATTTTTTTTTTCTAACTACTTTGCGCTCTGAGCTTTCTTTGTTGTTTTGAGAATTAAACTTATTTTTAGCCATTGATGAAAATAACAAAATATTCTGCAGTGTGTTCTTCATGTTTTTGGACTGTTACAGTAGTCAAATGACATTAGCATTTTGGACTCCTCGGATAGTTAGCACATCAATTTGCTTCTCTTGAAAAACAATTAACTGCTAATTCCATGAGTGGAAGTTTCAGTTCTGCCTTGTAAGAAATATTTCCCCTTTTGACAATTATTCAGCATTAATTCTCAGAGATATTGCTCTTGAACTTTTAAACAGACATTGTTTAAGTCGTAGAAGTATTAACTGTAACTGAGGTTTCCTTTTAGCAGGAGGTAAAGGATGTGTGTGTGACATTTGGTACAACAGTAAGTGTGTAAATGTGTGATTGATGGTGTGTTAACAGGTATATTGATGCTGCGGCACGCTCAGTGACGAGTTCTATGCTAACAGTTTGAATGTTCGGAGGCTCTTTGTTGGCATGTTAGCATACACAGCGCTGAGTGATGAGCTTTGTGCTAACTGTTTAGCTTACACTACATTGAGTGATGGTAAACAGCATGCTAACATGCTAACGCTCAACACTGACAAAACCATCATTGTAGTCAGATTAAAGAGGAATGTAGATATTTTTAGACCTGAGCTCTATTTTTGAATATCTTCTGACCTGAAGAGGGACACAGGAAAGAATGGGTGCTGAGGGTGCTGCAGCCCTTGAAAACTGGAACAAGTAAAATCATCAGCTTATAAGAAAGCATAACCTTAAGTTTACACTGTTTTATGGGATATGTAGATGTATTATACCAGATAGTATGATCCCTTTTTTTTTTAATAGTCCATAACTTGTTTATCATACTTCCTGCAGAGGTGCAACTCACAGCAGCTCGGAGCTTTTCATCTTTGCTCACACATCGAGGAGTTTCTGAGACGTCTAAACAAAGAAATTAAAGACGTCAGAACATCTGGTCATCAGGCTGAAGATATTTACTGAAACAGTTTCAAGTCTTGTGCATGACCATAGACCTTAAATATCTGAAAAACGAGCAACAGTTATTAAAATAAAATACAGGAATTTCCTTATCATTTTTCAAACCTTACTAAAGTTAGTGAAGAGATTTTAAGACAGTTTATAGAGGTGTTGATAAATAATACTCCTGAGTCATAAAGGCCTCAGTTATAAGATCTATTTACATTTATCTATGTTGTCCTTTATACAGGTTTTTTAATTGGTTTAAATGACTCATTAAATGTATCTATAGTCATTTAAAGTTACCCTGATTGATGTCAGTATCTGAATGTTGGTTTAGTGGCAGACTAGGCCCTCTAAATAAATACACTGACACATTCTGAACTTGATGTAGTTATCAGCCTGACTTATTTATGACAACAGAAGGACCGTAGTTAAAAATTAATGCTTTGTTTGAGGCGATGTGGAACAATTTTGTAAAATCTCCATTAAAAAGATATATTGTGGTCGACATAAAGGAAGAGGAGATAAATACAAACATGAGTCATTTTAACAAAAGTAATAAACAGCATCACATAAAAAAAAACATTTATTGGATTTAATATTTAATCTAATAATCATCAAATGTTTAAACAACACTGAAGCGCTTCTCTTAACCTCCTGAATCTACTGTCAGGCGAGTTTACACCGACTGCTGGACGCTTTCCAGGCACAAGAGAAGGAATGACGTGTATTTACCAATCATGTCAACTGCGTGTGTGTGCGTGAGTGTGTGAATATGTGTGTGAGTGTGAGACTCACAGGGCTCATCCTTACGCTCGTATTTCTAAGCCAGATATCATCTTGAGCTGTCCGACGAGCTATAAACATGACCAGTAAATATTTCCCATCAAGGTAGTCTCTACTCAGCCTCGCAAACACACACACACACACACATTCAGGAGAATTAACATACTGTACAGACACGCAGATCTCTGTCTGGTTTGTGTTCTGTAGCACCCTGAGTTTAGACCACTCTCAGAATGTAATATCCTCTGTGTTTGTTCATTTTGTTTGTATATATCCTAGGCCCAAATGTAGGACCCCCCCCAAAAATGTAAAAAACAGAACAAAACTTTTTAATCTGACATTTTAGTCATAATTTTTTTGCAAAGAATGTGAAACATGCTACTGAAAAAGTTCAAGTTTTAGACAATTCTTTTCATTTTTTAAACTTTCTTAACTTTAATATAAAAAAACTTAAATTCAACTTTTTCATCAGATCTGAAATCACGTCAAAGCATTTGAACTTGAATTCCAAATGTTCTTCAAAGACTCCTGATTGAGATTTTGGCGAGCCGCCAGTCTCACGCCACACTCAGACTTCACGCCGGCATCCCTCTTTGGCTCCAGACGCCGAGCCAATATGACAGATATTACTTCACACCCAAAACTCAACAGCCCCCCCTCCCACCTCATCCTCTCACCTCACACTCGTCTATTTTTACCTCTGGACACGGCTGCTGGTGTTGAGAGATGTCGAGCCGGCGGACACGCTGCTGTTGTCGGGGGGGATAAGAGGGGGAAGAGGTCAGCGGCGGAGGTGTGGCGCTGCTGATGTGCAACGTGTGTGTGTTGTAATCAGACAAAAAGAAAAAATTAGAACAAGTGTGTGTGTGTGTGGGAGGGGGGCAGTTTCTGTTTGTGGTCTAAAAGTGAAGTGGAGTTTGAATACGTGTGTGTGTGTGTTTGTGTATGAGTGTTTTTATAAGTGTGTGTGAGCTCAAGTGTGTCCTGGATTCATGCCCAACCACGCTGGCGCCACAATGACAAGCGCTGGTGTGAGGTGGACACACACACACACACACACACACACACACACACACACACACACACACACACTCCATCAAACACACAAAAACACACGGTTCTGTTAATAGAAAACAAAGATGTGGGCTGTGTGTTTCTCTCAGTATCGACACTGCTTGTAGTATGTGACACAAAACAATGTTTGACTACATTTCCCAGAGGGCCTTTTTGTCTGGAGGACACACAGTTGACTGAGTGTCCCATGAGGCTTTGCTCTGGGACCACGTTAATCCATCAGTAAGGCTGCACCAAATCCACCAGCTGTGTCTGTGTGTGTGTGTGTGTGTGTGTGTGTGTGTGTGTGGATGTTCTTGTTGAATTGACGTTGTCAGTAATTTACTCACTTTGTGTCGTTGTGGCTGAGCCGTTATGTTGAGTTTGTGCAAGCTTTGTGACAACATTTATGCGTTACCACTTCCATACTACAGTGATTGCACAGTACTAGTGATGTGTTGCTTTTTAACTCAGAGTTTTGACACAAGATTCCAGGAAGTGCTGCAAAAAAGCTCTGTTTAATCTCTATTTACAGATTCTACATAAGAATATAGAATCTGTAAAAGGGGGGATTTTCATTATGGAAAGTGTTCTGATTATTTTTTGTTGTACATTTGTAGTCCGATCTGTATCGACCAATTACGTATGGTCAGGCAGAGAGCAAATAAAAACATGCTGAACGTGTCAATGCTAAAGATCAGCCCTTCTTGGCTGTAATCTAACGATATTTTCATAAAAGCTAAGCTAACAATCCATTATAGATAAAGTATAAGTATTGTATAGTTTAATTTGAGCAACAAATCTGCTTGAGCCTGTGTTTCTCTGACTACCTGTAACACATCAGAAGTCAGGTCAAAGTTTAAACAGACGACTCAATGGACAGAATCCAAAGAAAATACTGGTGCATACAAACCAATGAGTTCATTTGTTAAGGTGCAAAAGATTAACTTTTCAACGTGCACTGCGTCTCCCTCAGGGTCAAACTTCCTCAGATTTGGAGCAGCCAACACAAATGTTCTGTCACCTCACCGCAGGTTTGAAACCTGTGTGTAGGAGCATCTTAGAGCATCTGGTGTGTTGACCATGGTGCTCTGACTGGAGCGTGTTGGTGTAATATCTCAGACAAATAACACCACGTCCTAAAGGCACGCAATGTGTCGGATTTCGAGTTGCATAGCCAGAAGCGCTGGCTCGCTGTCCACACTGAATCCGTTAAATATTTACTTCTTCGCTCTGTGAATTTCAGTTTCCCCTTGCAAACAGTGTGACATCTAGTGCTTTTAGTATTAAATAAGTGGGGTGCTTTGTAATGTCTAAAATGCCAACACTCAAAAGCTCGTCAATAAATGGCTAGCAGTGAGCTGAATAAAGTTTTTCTCCCCGGTGTTGTTGACACAAGTCAAAGCACAACATTTTAACACGATTATGGATATAATTATATCATTATAAATTTGTAAAACAAGCTATCAACCTTTGTTGAGTGAGAAAAATCCCCTTCTTTCTCGTTCCTCATCTATTTCGACACAAGAGTTGCTGGTCTTTTCTAGTTTGATCGGATCAGTCTTAGACTTTGGTGTCTTGCATTGTTCGTTTGGACCGAACAATATATGAATAACACACAAAAAGAAATAAACCATCTTTTTGTAGGCAGCAGCAAATCAGCAATTCCTGTGTTCTACAAGTTAAAATATCTCTGTCTGTCAATGGGGTCTGGTGGCTTTGAAGAGAGCGATGTAAATCAGTGAAAGGTTAAAAAAACATCTTACTGGTGGTGCAGTGGTCGGTGCACGCGCCCCATGTATGGAGGCTGTGGTCCTCGAGGCAGGCGGCCCAGGTTCAGATCCGGCCTGTGGCTCCTTTCCCGCATGTCATTCCCCTCTCTCTCTCTCCCTGATTTCCAACTCTATCCACTGTCCTATCTCTCCATTAAAGGCATAAACAGCTGAAAAACATCTTACTCTTAAGAGTTAACCTCTTATTCTGTAGGGATCCTTCCCTTAATGTCAGACAAGTTTAAACAATGTGGAACTTTCAGGGGTGAAAAGAATCACTTTAATGAAACAGGATATGGAAGAAGAAGTTTTGTAAACTCCCACTGATCAGCAGGATGACAGACTGCTGCATGGCTGTCAGGTAAACACACACACCTCCAAAATCAGCCCCCTGCACAGGCCTGTTAATTGAGTTTCATATATTGTGTTATTGTTTATTGATGTCACTGTTGTGTCAGCGCTGAATCAGCATTATGCTAATGATGTCAAATTTATGCGCGTTGTTCTGGAGGGTGTTTTGGCAAAGCAAGAGGTCCCGTTGACTCTGACAGACTCCCTCTCTCTACGATCAATGTAAAGGGTGACATGTCACATTATAGGTCAATTCATCGATTAGATTTCAAGAACAGTTTTTTGATAGTGTATACTAGCAAATATTCTGGTTTTGAAGTGTTTAACAAGCAAAACAAGACATTAAAAACCTGCCTCCTCCGGCTTTAGAGCTCTTTTCATTCATTCTTTAGACAAAACAGTCATCAGATTGATGGAAAATAACATTTAGGGTTTATTTTGGTTTTATTTTCCTTTCGATTCAAAGTCCTTAATGTGTTACAATTTAGCTACACTGAGTCTTCTTAAAGATACTTTTTAAAACCTACTTTTACACTGATGCTCCTTGTTGTGGTTTACTAGGTTTGATTAATTTGTTTGAAGGCTGTAAAACAGCAACATATTTAATCGAAATGAATCGCTAAATTTCAATACTTAATCACGATTAACCACATTTAATCGCATTGTTTGAAATTTCCATTAGTTTGCATTTTAAAATAGAATATTGTTCGGCCTTTATTTTGGATTTTGGTCTTAAGCTGAGAGGACTTTACTTGCTGTCTGAATTCAACCCTGCTTCAATCCCTGTTTTTCTTTCCTTCCTGCAAATTTGAACAAATAAAAGATGAGTCAGTAGTGGATTAAGACCAATATGAGGGGTTTTACTTTGAAGAGTTTTGATTGACACTTGGATGACGGAGTGTTTAACTGTCCAAGTGTCGAGGTTTACTGTTGATGTGACGGAGGAAAAGAATGAGGGAGTAACACAAATGTGGAAAGAAGGAGGAGTATAGCTCTTGTTGTGGATGTGGGAGGTGTAATGATATTAACTATACTGTGGCCTGGGAGGTCCACAACAGCAGGGCTATCATTATGGTATAATTAGCTCGTGGTTCGGCGGCAGTGGTAGCGGTTGCAACGGGGGACATTTGTGTTGTTTGTCAATCTGTAACCGTATTATCTCACCGCCTGCCACTGCGCTCCAACAACATCATTACAGCCGGCACTCAATCAACAATTACCCTGCAGCTCCGACAACTTTCAGCTGGAGTTTGGGCCACGCTCATACAGGGAGCATGTTCCTCCCGCCAAATTACAATAATTATGATTCATTTATAGCCGTGATTGACAGCTGAGCCCGGTTGCACAAAGTGTCTCCCACCTGAGCGCGTGTAGCTGCAGAACATGGCAGCTGAAGGCGATATTTAACATGTAATTCTGCCTTCTGACAGTTTGGAAAGTTACTGCTTCCCATTATATGATGATTAGACAAGAGTGGGCTCGCTCGCCCATCGCTGCTGTTAATGGCATATTAATTTGCTGTATTGAAAGTGGCAGGCGTCGAAGGGAGCGCTGAGCACACATGCTAACCCGGCACAGCCTTTCAGTTCACTTCGTCTTTATTTAGCTATGATGGGAAATCAGTGAAAGGGATTTCTTTTTTAAAAGGGCACATGTAAAATCACTTGGGCCTGTAGGCTGCACACGCTCAAAAACACACGTCTTTGCATTTACATATCGGGCGTTCAGCTGACTGCTCTCTGGAGAGACTCACAATGAGGGATCAAGCTTCAGTATGTCGATCGAGGACATTTATGTTTTACATTTCAGCTCATGCTCTTTTGCCACAGTGACTAAGAGCCCCAAATCACACAGAAGAACATCAAATTGACACCTTTAATTCTCTCTTTGGACACTCACTGTCCTTTGAACTCCGCCCACCAGGCACCTGACTGAACTATTTGACTAATTTGAGTTTAAAGCAGGTCTAACTTTTAAGTCTTTGACATGTTTTCTTCACATTTTATTGAGGGAGAGACTGATCTAATTTCAGGCTCCTGACCACACACCTACTAATTGACTCTCACTATTGGTACTTATACTACCTGTGAGCATCCCAATGCTTTGAAATAACTGATGTAGCCTTCGTGGTGGCTTTGGACTTTGGATTTTCACCAAGCAGCAAAAATGATGCCAATCCAAACATGCAAAACAATGCAGTTCCACAGAGTGTCCACTTGAGGCTGCCCAGCAAATTAAGATTCCCATTTCCATTTTTACAGCATAAATAAACATGTTAACAGCACAGTAAAAAACAACTTTGGTCTGAATATCTCATTTTGTTATTTGTACACTTTTTATGGGGGTTGATGATGTTTTATTATAACTCCATCTATATTTTCTGTTATATCTGTTATATTAAGGCTAATAGTTTTGCATAATTTAGATAAGGGGCGTGGTTGAATTGACTGAAATACAGTCTGTGGGCTGAATCATTTAAGCATGATAAAAGATTAAAAGATTGATGTGTGTATTTGTTGTAACTGCATATGTGAAGTTGATTTGAACCTTGTTTGTCCTTAACCTGCTCACATTATTCAGTCTGTTCATCATGTGCACCATCCTGACCAACTGTTGCTTCATGGCCATGTCCGAGCCGGCGTACTGGGCCAAATACGTGGAGTAAGTACATCCGTCTGTCCGTTTGCCTCTCTTTCTTTGCCAGTTGTGTCCACCAATCAGAATCACCTTTGGATGGTAGGGGATTCCCACAGGCTGTGCGACTGCTGTTGAATGCAACGCTGCCAACAGAAGCCTGAACTCTTTGTTCTGATGGTGTAATGGCATCCAGTCCAGGGGAACAACTCATGAGACAGGGTGGGAGGAAGTTTGGCTGAGCATTTGGCACAAACTGTGGTATTAAAAAGTACGCTTATTTTTGTCTGTATTTACAGAAATGGTTTTTGAAGGCACTGCTGGCCTAGAGGAATTCCATTGTTTTTAAACATTGAACTTTTTATCTTTGAGGGTCTAAATAGCGAGGAGACACAATTTTTTTGGAATTGCTGTTGAAGATTTCTTCAGCTAGCTGCCATAAAATAGACTGATATGGCTAAGTCCTAAAAATAAAAGAAAAAATGTGTTAATGTTATTTTTCTTCTTGGGCTTCTCACAAAGACATTGTGAGAAGCCCAAGAACCATGTCGACTGACGAGGTTCAGAGATTTTACTGGCTCTTGATCAAATGTGACTCTGCTAGCGTCTACAGCCCGTTGTTTGAGACATAACTTGGGTAAGGTGATTTTCTGCACCAATAACGATACAGCTTAATGTTACGACACAATCTGTTATGAATAGTATCTACAGGGATGTGCACTATGCTGTTGGATTGTTGCTTTCCTATTAGCTGTGATACAGATCATGGGGCGATTGCAAAGCTCTCTTCAAACGGAACAGAGATGGGCTAACTGGCTGCTTTGTAGCTGCAGGCTGCTGTGTGAAGTGATGCCGTAAAGCTGTACGCACTTCATGCAAGATTACCGCGGCCTTTTACCAAAGTCACAGCGTTCTAGTGCTGAAAACAGGCAAGGTGCACTCTGTGGTCATGAGAGAGACAACATTCTCCCTGTACATCAGACGCACACACTTACTGATAGACACTGGGCGCCCATAGTATATTTTCGGTTACAAAAATCGACTTTGTTTTGAACATGTAGGATCTTTCTCTGTAGGGATCCTTTCTGTGATGTTGATAAAAACAGTCTGAGCCTGTTGGTGACAAAAAAAACAACTTGTAGTGGACGTTCTTCAATTGGCTCACTTGTGAACTGAAGCAATCTACTGGAGCAATTCCAAAACTTTTTGACATCTGATTGTCCTTTAGACCCCAGCGTATGTCGAAATAGGACCGCGGGTTAAAAAGAGGCTAGTGCAGAATGTTATATGCATCTACTAAAAGGCACAAATCTAAAAGGGAAACTATTTGAATACCTTTTTACACCGGGGTTAGGAGGGAAAACATGTATTTTTGCCCCCTGGCTTCCAGCTGTGCAGCTGCTGCTGACGTGACTGCCTCTCTCTCTCCTGTCTGTCTGTCTCTGCACGGTTGAGTTGACACCCCGTCGGGTCAAAACTTGTTTCTGGGGACAAAATAAATAAATGAAGGATGTTTGGCTGCAGCGCTGCTGTTTTTATTAATATTCATTCTGCTCTTTTTTCCACTCCTTTATTCCTTCTCTCTCTCTCTCTCTCTTTTCCCATCCCTTCTTCTTCTCTGATCTCCTTTTCTTCACGCTCCTTTATCCTGTCCTGCCTTTCTCCTCCCCCACATCCTTCACTCCTTATTCCCCCACCTTCTGCTCCTCCTTTACAACTTTCTGTTTATCCTCAACATTTAATTTCTACCATCCCTTCCTCTCTTTGTTCTCCATCTTTTGATTTTCTTTTCTCCTTCATTTGTTCTTTTTGTTCTATTCCTCAACTCATTTCTCTTTTTCATTTTGGTCTTCTTCCCTCTCAACCTTTGATCATCTTACCTTAATTCACCTCTTATTATCTTTATTCTTTACTTCCTTCTTCTACTTCTTTTCCATAAAATCTCTTTCTTTGTCTTTTTCTCCCATAACTCTTTCATCCTCTTCCTTCCTCCGGTTTTGTTTTCTTTACTTCTCTTTCCCTCAACCTCCTTCCTTTTTTCCTTTCCTCCCTCCCTCCCCTCCCTCAGGTACACCTTCACAGGTATCTACACGTTCGAGTCGCTCATAAAGATCTTGGCGAGGGGTTTCTGTGTGGGACCCTTCACCTTCCTGAGGGACCCCTGGAACTGGCTCGACTTCAGCGTCATCGTCATGGCGTGAGTCAAGCAATGAGATACATACACATGAACACAAGAAACACACATTTATTAATGTATCATTATGCTAATGGACTGGATACACACACAAACTCACGCACGCGTGCACACACACACACACACACACACACACACACACACACACACACACACACACACACACACACACACACACACACACAGAGCAGCAGCATTAAGCAAACAATTGAGCTCAGCTTTCAAAAGGTTAAGCCTGAGATCACTTTAATAAATAATAAAAATAACCAAACTCTTATATGATAACGATGTATTTTACAAACAGACATACAAACTGGTTGAGATATTTTAGATCAGGTTCAGTTTCCAGGTCTGAGTTGAGGAAACAGAAACAAAAAAGCATCACCTCTAACTCCATTAAACTTGACCTTATCTTTATTTTTTTTAAGCTACACTAAACTAAAACATTTCCTGTACATGCTTCACATTAAAAGCCCCTCAGGATAGGGGAGTAACTCAGCATTTCCAGCTCCATGCAGGGCTTTTAATGCTAAACGTCTGCAGGAAAAGAGCTGCAGAGTAAAGCTGAGCGGAGTTTATCAGTGAGTGAGTTTTAAAGAGCGACTCAGAGCAGCAGAGTGTGACAGGCCTGTGTTGTACTGACGGGATTAGAGCTGTGGAATTAAAAAGAAAGACTAACACAAGCTCGTCTCTGCAGCGGAGGTACACGGAGTCGAACGCGTCCGGCCTGAAGTCGCTCGTGTTTGTTGGATTCAGACACATTTGCAAAGTCAGTTGAAACTCTGCTCTCTGACTGCGTCCCATTGAGCTGTCAGTCCGAATGTTCAGAGAGAAAAAAAACCCAAATGAAGAACAAACTTGAGGCTGCAGATTCATGTGTCATTAATGAAGTTAATGAGCGTGAGACAGGACGGGTAGAAATAAGTCCAGGATGTGAGGACAATCTATGTTTCCATAACGAAGCGGTGAAAAATGACACAGCACATTTACATGTACTCAACATCTTCATTTACATTTGGAGAAATCTTGCACTTAACTTTAGCTTCCTCTATTGATTATTATCAAACAAGCTATTGCATTTTTTACTTCATTACTTTAATTTGACTCTTCAGCCAAAGTTAATCTGGTATTTGTTTAGATGATTTTTCGGGGTTTAACCACAGTCTGAATAAAACATTGGCATATCTCAGTGATGTCACCCATTGGTTTCTGAAAAGCCCAACAATGGCAGTCACCATATTGGAAAGGCGGACTCTAACTTTCGTCACCTAGAAACGGACAAATTGGTGGAGCTGAGGCGGGCCTTAAGCATCCAGACAATGAGCCACAACGTGTTCACCTGTCAATCAACTCAGCTCCGCCTCTTATGAATATCTTCTAGCCTTTATGTAATCAAAAGGGTTGTAATATAAAATCTCATTTCTCATTTCTATTGAAACCAAATTAGTATTTTGTACCGGGCTACATTCATTTGTATTGCTGCAGACGTTCTAATATTTGTGTTAGAGGGCTGCAGGCAGATTTTTGCAGTTTCACATTGATGCATTTGTCAGCATTGAGGTTGCTACTTGGTTTTTACTTCAGTAAAATGAAATGGCGTTAATAGCGTGACGGTGACTCTCAGCAGTTTTGACCAGCTGACCTCTGACCTCTCTGAATCACTCATCCCATCACCTTGCAGTCTGTCCTGTGTGTGCTCCCATGAGACTGTTGGTCAGCTGGTCAGAGGTGACGAGAGAGAAAAAAGGTTGTTTATCCTTTATTTATGTACATGGTGTTGATTTCTCTTCAAAAAGAGCAAAATAAAGATGACTGTTTATGTCATTAAAGGTATACGTAAAATCCTTAAAGTCACAAAATAATCTTTGGTTGTCAGGGCAGATTTGAGCTCATATGCTAACTCTCATTTTGTAAATAATAATAATAATAATTTTAAAGGAAATCAGCTCTTACAGTGAAGTCTGAAATTGTCTTTTTTGTATCTTAAACAGTTTAACAGAAATGAAATAATTTCAGCAATAAAAACTCAAAGTCAGAGTGTCCTTGAAAGCCCCAAAAGGGAGACAGTTCTGCTCTAACTGCTCCACTTTGACTTTACAAAGGGTTTTCATTATTATTTTTTCAAACTTTTCAGACAAAGTTTTTGCGTTAAGCAACGCTTAAACTTCACATTTTGATCTGTGAAATCATAATGAGGTGTGTAGAGTAAAAATCCCTTCCAGCACGAACGTATAAAACCACCTGAAAGCTCCTTTTATGACTCATGAAGCAACATATTGCTGCTGTCCTACTTGGATTGTGTTCAGTCCAATGATTGCACAATCCCCTCTCTGCCTTGAAACAGCTCTGTGTACAGTTTATCTATACTTTTGGAGAAAAAAAACGACACTTTTTGAAGCAGAGTATCACAGATATCCGAGGAGAGCTGAGTGCCTCCCAGAAAATGTTTTTGTACGGCTCCTTTAAACTGAGATAATAGGAAAATAAAAGTCAAATCAACAAACAAACACAAACTAATGGCCAACACAGAAAACAGGAAGCACAGAAAAAAAAGAAGCTCCTCAGAGGGACGAGTGAATAGTTTTCTGGCTGGATGAGGACTCGATGAATTATACGACTTTACTCTGTGTTTTTTTAGAGAAAAGAGAAAGGTGCTTTTCTCTGTGACAGCCGCTCATTTTCCAAATTACAGGTTTGAAAATCTCCCTAAACTCCCTGAGCTCATCAGCCAGCGTCAAACCGTCAATTCAAGCCACAAAAAGAACTCGACGGATACCGCAGCTGGGAGTTCTGTCTCCTCTCGACGGTGCCTGCTCTACTGCTTTGTTTCCTTTTGACCCGTCCACTTCAGTAACTGAGTGACTGATGTGAAAATCACTGCGATTTGGTTTGGTTAGCGATCAGGCGGCGATCAATCAGAGCGGGTCGGCGTTCAGCATGGGGCGCTGCCGGGAAGATAAATGATCAGGATGAACTGATGGGATCAATAGTTGACCCCGCGGCTCAGCTCTGAGGTTAGCGCCCGGCGTAATGAAGCGGTGTCACCTCCACCGCGGCCGCTCGCTAAATTGAAGCGTGTTGATGAAGGTGCCCTCGGGTGGAGGGAGTCCCGCAGCGTCTGCAGAGTTACATAATGAGCCCAATCGCCCCGATGCCGAGTCCCTCAGAGGGAGAGATGGCTCCACTTAAAGGACAAATTCGCCATTAAAACAGTCAGCCCTGAATCATCCAGCTGATGATGTGTACTTTACATTCTGTCTGCATGCAGCACATCATCGGCCGCTGCTTTATGTGGTTAACAAAGAGACCGTTACATTTTATGAAGGGTGAACCGGTTCATAGAGGTCACGGTTCAGTACGAGTTAAGTTCAACACAACAGGAGAGCACACCTCTAGGTTTCTCTTATTTATTTAGAACGGACTTAATGCAAGTGACAGTTTGTTCCATCTTGTGTTACTTACAGTGGAACTTCCTGTTTCTGTGATATTTAAAAAAGTGAGGGTAAGTGGGCACCTCTTGGTGATGCTGCCTAATATTCATCAGATACGTTATCTTTAATCCCCTCTCACAATGCGACGTATAGGACCACAGTTTTGGACTCTCAACCACAAATTTTGCCACAATTGATCATCTTTAGTCTGGGACGTCCAAAAATCGTACTCTGTACCCGGCATTAGATGAAATGTCTTGAGTCTATTGGGGTTTGTTTCTGTGGCTGTGTAGCTCAGAAGCTGTCGTCTACACCATGGGTGGTCAGGTTTAGTCAAAAAATAATCTTAAATATAATCTAACTCTCTGGATCTCTTTGTGTCACTCAGGATGGAAGTCTTCCCGCCCATTTAGCATGCATTCCATGTTTTTATGTTAAATAGTAGGCGTCAAAAATAAAGTTAAATCTAATTACAACAGGATATGCAAATAAATATCTCTATTATTTAAAGGTAAAACAAATACAAGCTTGAGTTCATTTTGTTTCCCCTTTAATGTCATTTAAGAGGCTAAAGTTTTTGTAGTTTTCTGTGCCATAAAAACAAAGATGGTTCAGCAGGTTTCCACACAACATGTGAGATATAAGTGAGATAAACGTGATACATTAGAAGCATCCTGCAGTGAGACTGTGGAGATAATTCAGACGAACAAATGAAGCTGTTAATTTGAGGATTTGATTTAGAAGTCTACAAGCACCAATTATTGTCTGAGCGTAGATTTACACATGTAAATGTAATGTCTTCTGATGCTTAGTTGGTCTAAAACTGTTCATTTATTTCACACCTGAAAATATTCAACACAACAAAAAATGTAAAACTTAAGCGTGAGGTCTGAAATAATCAGGTTAATGACTCTGGACTCTTAAGGCTTTATCCCTACAAGGATAAGAAAAGCCGTATTTAAGCGTCGGTGAGAAAGGCATTCTGGGAGATTGAGTCTTTAAAGTTGATTTAGAGAATGGAGAAAAAAAAAACGTCAAAAGAAAACACAACACTGTTTTCTTTCCTCATCCTTCGTCTGGTGTGTGAATCGTGTGTAATGTTTGGTGACAACGTATTGCTGTTGTAAGATCACACACACACACACACACACACACACGCGCACACACCCAGTGCACATGAAGTCAGTAGGTGTGTGTGTCCTTGAACCGAGGGCCATCCTGCGGTCAGATGGATCTTTAGCAGGACAGGGACACATAAGTCACCTCTTTACACACACATACACACACGCACACACACACACACACACACACACACACACACACACACACACACACACACACACACACACACACACACACACACACACACACACAGACACTTCAACGATGGAGAACTTGTTAACTTTATGTGTGGTCATACACAAACACAAAAATGCCATGTATGAGCACACACACATCCTTACCATCTGCAAGCACACACACTCTCCGCCCCTGACACATCACCCCTCTGTGCCCGGCTTTATTAAAACCAGAGTGATGGTCAGTAAATAGACACACCCATCCTGAAACAAA